GAGAGTATCCAACCAATATCCCCTGGTTCAGTCCTATGATGGACCAAAGGAGAGTGGAGAATTTCTCGCTAGTTCAATATTAAAAGGCATTTTCACATCGTCGATAAAGAATCATGCATATCTCGATATGATCTAGAGTGTGTTTGGTATGGATTTTTGGGGGAAGAATTGATTTTCGAATAGTGATAGGAAGAGAAATGTGTGGTTGAAAAAGAAGAAAAATGTATTGATGTGATGAAAAATATTATTTTATTGAAGAATGTGTGGTTGAAAATGAGAATCGATTTATTGTAGAAAATGAGAATCTGTACCAAACAGGCCCCTATTAAAATAGAGTAATTAAAAAAAAAAATTTACATTACAGATGAGAGGTTTTTTTATTAAGTTTGTAAATTCTCTTGTAAATTTCTATTCAAGGAAGAAATAGAATAATTTTTTTATAAGAGTTTGTAAATTCTCTTGTAAAATTCTATTCTAGTAAGAAATAGAATAGTTTTTCCTCTTATAACTCCTTTTTCGTGATCGGAGAATCACAACAAGTAGTATCAGAGCCAAAAAATATTTTCACATTGGCCACTGTAGTTTTTTGGTATTTACAATTGGTCCCAGAAATTTCAAAATATCTAATTATTTTTTTAATATTTCTGGGAGTCGATTTTTTGAGTAGGAAAGAGTCAAATCCACCATTTTATCGTTCCAAACGCAACGGTGTACTTTGTTTTGCCAAACTCAAACTCAGTCTGAACACTTAAAAATATATACCTATGCGAAATGAAAATGAAAATGAAAATGAAAAAAGCAAAATTGTAATATGAAATGTATGACATTTTACATAATAATTTCACAAAAACCTGTATAAATAGATAAATTATGATGTGGTGGATGTAATCATAAGTCTTTATTTCATTAGCGTGACAATGCATGAAATTTGATATGCATGTAATAAATGTGATTATAAACAATTTATCTTATATGGTTTTGATACTATCTTGGAAGGATTTAATATGCTTGAAGCATACTTCAAGTGATATTATCATGAGAGATAGTGAATACGAGTTGTACTCTTTTTCCTTTGATTGAGGTTTTGTCCAATTAGGTCTTTTTGACAAGGTTTTTAATGACAACATTTGTGGTGTATTCAAAAGAATAGGTCCTCGTTTGGTGTACATTTTAAAGATAAGAATACATTTTTACTGTTGATGTGATGGGGAATATGTGATTGAAAAAAAAGGAAAAGTTATTAATGTGATGAAATATATTATTTTATTGAAGAATGTGTGGTTGAAAATGAGTAGAAGAATGAGAATGAAAATTTTTATATTGTCATTTCTATTATCTTATTTATATAAATCTAAACAATTAAATGAATAATCGAGTCCAAAGAATAAATACGTTAATCATATTAATTTATTTATAAAATATTTGCAGCCATATGNTAAGATTTTAATGAGGCATATTCTTTGTGTAATAAATGTCTATAACATACAAGACATTTACCCTCAAAATCTCCTATTATATGATATTCCCCAAAAGATCAATAAGATCTATTTTTTAAATCATCGTGTTACTACAATCATAAAAAATTGATAAATATTTCGTATGAAGAGAGTGTTATTTGAAGACTATACAAGACAACATGAGACATACCTTATCATAAACTGCAACATTGAAGACATTGGCATACAAGATAATGATGAAGTGATACAAGAATTGAAATCAGGGGAGCAGCTATACTCTTTTTCATGCGATCAAGTTTTGTCACATCGAGTTTTCTTGATAAGGTTTTAATGAAGCATATATTTTATAATGTGTCATTTAAGGGAGAATATTATAAATGACAACTTTATTAGTGAATGACAATTGTACCCATATAGCCCTAGAAATTATTACCATTGTATCTCTAATCCTTCCCTATAAATATGGAATTTTAATTCTCAATAAAATACACAAGTCTATTGATTTTTTTTTTTTTCTAGTTTATAAAGAGAGGTATTTTATCGTCCCTAACTAGGGGTGAACATTGTCATGGAAACAATTTCAATTAAATTGGGATTTTATAAAGTTTGATTTAATTTCAATTAGAATTTTAACTTGGTCAAAATCTTAAACTTGAGAATTCAGGTTAGATAGAAATTTCTTTTAGTCTATATTTTGAAATACTCAAACTGGGAAGTTGGAACAAAATGACTTGAGTTTCAGTTTTTATGAATATCCATGTTCGACTTCAGAAATTGAGCAAAAATGAGCTTCAGCTCACTTTCAAAATTAAATTTTAGAATCTTTCGATTTTGGTCACATGTAATCTTTATTTACATCTCAATTTTTCTAATACGGGTGACTTTTTTCATCTTATCATCACATTAAAATTAAATAAAAATTTTACACCCACCTTTCAAAATCAAATGCACCGGCTACATGCATCTTCGTGGATAGCAAACACAGTGTTGAATATAATTAAAAAGTACTGTGACCAAGATGTGTAACAATTGGTAGCAATGAAACGATTCGTAGTACTAGCACATACTTTGTAAAATCAAAGTAACGTGCATGTTTGGCAAAGCTTAAATTATCAACTTAAATACTTTATATCCACACTTATAGGAGTCACAACAACTACTAACTTATCATCCACACATTCATAAAATCCATGGCTTATAATCACTTAAATTTTAATTTAAGCACACCAAGCATGCTCTCAATAGAAAAAAATTGAACTTATAATCCACTACCCTTATACATCGAAGGATCCAATAATTAAGGAGTGAAAAGAATTATAAAGTCATAATAAAAGAAATATATGGCAGACATTCCCATTACTTTTCGAGGAAGTGAGGCTCCAAATAGTGTGCATTTTCAGCAAATGCACCAGATGTAGCAGCAGCTTAAGCACAGCCTCAAGTTCAACATGATCTTCAAGTGTCGACCATTATATGTCACTAGCACAGACCAAATTTCGGACAACACCTGCGCGAACCTGCAAAGTTAATGCATAGTTCACAAATGGAAAATAAGTAGTAGCATGAGGTTACAAAGTTTGGGTATTTTCGGTTTCTTTGGTTGATAGCTAATCTACTATCGGGTTAGCCATTTCCATTATTACTTCCCGAGCCCCAAGAACTACTGTTAATACCATTCAAGACTTATATGCAACTAGAAACCATCCTTCACGATACCCACCAGTACGTTGAATGCACTAATAATAATACCAGAGTCTAACAAATATAAAAAGCATTTACACGCTCAAGAAAAAGAGAATTATCCACTAACCCCACTTAAGAAGTATGCAATCTATTGAAATTTAATAAATTATCCAAGCAATTATACTTTAAGCGCTTGTTTGAGTCCATTTTTTCAAGAACTTATTTTTTCGAAACACATTTTCAACCATATTCTCTCATAAAATAATTATACATTTATTTCAAAAAAAAATTCTAACTTTTTAACCACATATCCTCCAAAAAATCATTATTCCATAATACATTTTACCCAAAAAATGGGAATCAAACAGGGGCTAAATTAGCCACATGCCAGTTATTTCTTTTGGGCTCAAATCTACTAACCCCACTTGAGAATATGCAATTTATTGAAATTTAATAATTTATCCAAGCAATTATACTTTAAATAATCCACATGCCAGTTATTACTTCTGGGTTACTAGTTCTCGCGAATGTATGATTCTACTTGTTCTCTTTTCTCAATATTCTGCAGTCTCAAGATGAGAATATAATTGTTCCTATGACTCCTCTCGTGGTACTGAGGTTCGACTTGATCGTTTGTATCATAGTAGCATCTTTTATTGGTTTGGGCCATAGTTACACCTTGCTCCATCTCTCAATGTGCAACTGTGAAGCAGGGGTTGCACATGCACGGGAAAAAGGGATTTTGTGCTGCATCAGATCTATATCACTTTCCAAACTAATACACGAGTCTTAGAGCATGTTTGGGAGAGCTTTTACAAACTTATTAACTGGCCAAACATCATTTTTATCCACACATGTCGTAGGACCCCAATTTTTATCCACACATTCCGTAGGACTCACAACTTTTATCCACTTTTCTTCCACAAATTCCTTAAAACCCATTGTGTATAATCTGCAAAAAGCTTTACCAAACATACACTAGTCCCTCTCAGCTTATCAGTTCTTTTTCTCATGAATGCTTTAAAGTTGCTGAAAGAAAGTTCAATTGCCTCCAACAACTAAGGGCACGATCCATAAAAATGTGACTATATATGCATTTTATCTTTATCTTTATATTCATTTTTAGCTTTGATATTGAAATTTGCAAGTGAGATCTTTTAAATTAGAGTAGCTGGGTTGTGCTATTTAGTACTAGGGAGGACAAAGAAACAATTCATATAGTAGTTATAGAACAAATTTGATGTTCATAGAATTTTTCTCACATAATATTGACTTTTTCACACGAACGTTCTCATAAATTTTCCTAATTTTTAATTCCAAAATCAGATGGGTCAGAGGCATGTCCTTCGTGTCAGAAATCAATAAAATATAAAAACACAGGACAGGCCATATGGTGTATCGATGAATTGTCTCTCAAGTGTCGGAAATTTAAAAGAAGCATGAAAAAAGAGAATGTTATGTGTTAGACAAGCATGGTAAATTGTCCAAGCATCAGCATCTGATATGTGTTGGGCCAACATTCCACCCTAGGAGGAGTATCTGCGGTTCACAGGTCAAGAATGACGCAAATATATGAAATTAAACAGAGTTAAATAGTAAATAAATGTATTCTATGCAGAATAAAAACCAGATATAGACTCTAGTAGTAGACAAGTTTGCCACAGACTAGTAATTATTTGTGCGCCATCTCTACTTCCTAGCCATGATAACAGCATCAATACAGCTTATCAACAAGAATTATGATGAGATGTATGAATAGCCAGAAGGGCAAACAAACACAATATCAGGGAATGCACACCAATTAAAATTCAGATAACCAAAAGCAAATAAAATACCTTCTTAGTTGAGGAAAACAAGGGACTATGCAGCATTTGTATTCTGAATCGCATCTCTCTCAGATGTTTCGCTCTGATAAGATTATTACAGAGAATGATGAGAATATCAGCATCGAACAAATATATCATTTTATCCAGGGATAAAAATTAATCATTTCAATAAATTGGGAAATTCCTATGATGAGGCACTAAGACTCACAGGATCAGTCAACTGGTCCCTAATACTATACATGGAACTCAACATCGTTTCCAGAGTATCCTTCGCCAACTGGAACTTCACGTCCCTTTCTCCTGAGTTGGGCTGGGTATTGCTTTGAAGCTGCAGAAAGTTTGAGCTTTCATCAGAAAAATGAGAAATGGTGAGATGTTCATGCTCGGTGAAAGTGAACTTGCCTTCAAATTGATAACTGCTGATGGGTCTGTTAATTCCGTTTCTTGATTTACCATGCTCCATGTCATTGCCTTTAAGCTGGGCAGATTGACCTGATGGCAATTAAGCTAAATAAAGTCCAAGATTTGGCAAGACTTTTGAAAAGTCAAAAGCTTCTTGGGGCCCATTTGGCATGGCTTTTAAAAGGAGCTTTTGAACCCAAAAGTTGCTTTTGAACCCGCTTGACTAATTTTATAAAAGTGCATCTACTAGGAAGCTGGTTCATTGTAACTTTCTCTAAAAGCACTTCTGGAATGAGAAATACTTTCAAAAATTAGTTTCCAAACAAAAATTAATATGGCCTCCTCTAAAAAATTTTCTACAGGAAGTAAAAGTAAAAGCAAAAGACATGCCAAACAGGGGCTTTCCGATACTAAAAATTGCTTTTGAGCCTATTTGGATAATTATTTTGAACTACTTTTTTCTAACCTTTGTCTGGTTAAAAGCTTTTAGAGGAAGTTGACCTAAGGTAGCTTTTTTAGGAAATTGTTCTACAAAAAAGCAGAAGCTATCCCAAATAAACTCTCTTAATCATTAAAATAAAATTTGATTTTCTGAGGCCTTTCAAAAGATGTAGTTCTGGATTTGACTTTCTAGGAGGTAAATATTTAGTTTTGAATCGAAGGAATGGCGAAAAAGAATTCATGAAACACGATCCCAAGTTTATCAGCGCTAAACCTTAACATTGGTTGTTTTGGAGTAAAAAATAATGTCTCACCTGATCCTTTGATATATCCTCACGCCATTCCTTCTGGAATTTTTGCAATAAAAGCGTCAATAATCTTTGTAGTTCAGGCAGGACTTCAGCAGGAAAGAGTTTGTGCATCTCATCCTTGCTAACATTCTCATAAACGCATCTTCGGATCAATACCCTAAGGCATACCAAAAGCTGCAGAAACATTATAGACCTGGTTTTGGATTTAAATTGACAGATTTATTTTCTCTAGTCTAAAACTTAAATTGGTTTAGGCTAACCAGATATTTAAAAACTAAACAAAATCTGATATTCCTTACATTTAACTAATACCAAAGTTGAAAACCATTTGAATGTAGTTTGAAATCATGAAAATAAAGTATGAGTAACGAGATTATAAATTGAAAAATGTCCATGACAGTTGTATTCCTACAGGTAAATAACCTATTGTTTCGTTTTTAACCAAATACACGAAAAGGTCCCTTTGCTGCTTCTCTAACCAGAATAAAGCCCAAACTTTACTAATAGATACCCAGTACTATGCATATAATTTTCTACAATAGACTTGCTCTGATTTACAATTTTCCATCAAAAATGCCACATTCCTAACGTTGCAAGGTACTGAGCAGAATGAACTACTGTTCAATATTTTTCTTCGTGCTAAACCAGTTTGCACCTTGCTCTAGCAAGTTAATATAGAAGTGAGATACTAATAATTCAATTAAAAGCTAAAGCCCATGAAAATGAACAAAAATGAAGGAAGAACCAACATATTAACCCTCTATCAAAACAGTGAAATTTCATTTTAGTCCCTCGATTTTTCTTTTTTTCTTTCTTGTTCTGACCTCTATCGCGAAAGTTTCAATTTTCATTTCAATTTTCTCATCAATAACACACCATAAGATTTATCTTTCTTTCCTACATATTAAAGAAATGCTCTTGCATGGACTCATAAAGAGTCGCACATTAACAGAGGGTAATCCTTACGTCTTTCATTCCATGCAAAAAAGTTAAATCAGGGAATTGATGCCTACATCCCTTTCGAGTTTGAGGGAATTCGCTTCAAACCAAATACATGACTATCATAGAAATCTTTTCTCTGAAGCTAGAGATTACCATATATCAATAAATAATGTTAACAGCAATGCAAAATTGCAATTTTAATACAAAAGCCCAACCAAAATTCATTTTTTAACGCAATAACTTGTTATGTAAACATAGCTTATACAATCTAAAATCAAGATTATAGCACAACTTGACTGCTAATGAACACCATATCATAAGGGTAACCCTTGTGTTTTCCATCCAAGAAAATAAGGTAAATCGCGAAATTGAAGCGTATACATCCCTTCTGAGTTTGAGGGAATTTTGCTCCAAAAACAAGATATCTACTCCCATAGATTTTCTTTTGTCTGTGGCCGCCGGAGATTACACATTTATCAATAAATAACATTAATGGTAACAAAATTCTGAAATTTTAATACATAAGTCCTTTTAAAATTTCATTTTTTATCACAGTTACTTGTTAGGTAAACACGACTTTTATAAATCGAAAAAAACAAGATTATTGCACAACCAGACAACTAATGAGCACCATCAAAAGAGTAATCCTTATGTCTTCCATCCAGGTCCAGTTAAATCGCAAAATTGAAGCCTATACATCCCTACGGCGATTCAAATTTGCAATTTTAATACAAAAATCCTATTAAAAAATCAATTTTTATCACAATTTGTTGTTAGGTAAACACACAACTTCTACAAATCGAAAAAACAAGAATATTGCACAACTAGACAACTGATGAGCACAATCAAAAGAGTAATCCCTTGGTAAATTGAATCCTAAACATCCCTTTTTAGTTTCAGGGAATTTGGCTCTAAACCAAAGACTACTACTTTCATAGAAATCTTTTCTTCTCTGACCATGGAGATTACCCATATATCAGTAAATACATTAACGGGTATGCAAATTTGCAATGTAATACAAAAATCCTATTAAAATTCAATTGTTAACACAGTAACTTGTTAGGTAAACATAGCTTTTACAAATAGAAAACCAAGATTATTGCACAACTAGAAAACTATGAGCATCATTGAAAGTGTAATTCTTATGTCTTTCGTTCTGGACAAAGAAGGTAAATTGGGAAATTAAACCTATACATCCCTTATGAGTTTGAGGGAATTTCGCTCCAACCACTATTTTCATAGATATATTTTCTTTTTTAACAGCCAGAGATTACCCATATATCAACAAAATAACGTTAACAGCGTTGAAAATTTGCAAAAAATAAAATAATAATAATAATAATAAATCCTATTAATTTAACACAGCAACTAGTTATGTAAGAACGGCTTGTACAAATCGAAAGCAAAATTATTGCATAACTAGACAACTAATGAGCACCATTAAAACAAAATTTAAACTTTACTAAACTTCTCTCGAAGTTAGGTTACCTCTATTTTAATTACCCAATAAAATTTACTTTGGCGTATTTTTGGTCGTCTGATGCTGCATATGTACATAAAAATTACATATTTTACATCGAAAAGCGACAAGGAAAGTGGACATACAGGATCGATGTCGGAATCATTGGGGAGTTGGAGGATTTCGCGGAAGATTTGGCGGTCGGCGGCGTCAAGTCCTGTGTGGCGGGTTCGCCAAAGGGCTTGAAGTATGTATTCAACGGGTTCCTTGGAATTGGCTCTCACCAGCAGCGGCAAATGCCCCCATAGACTGTGAATTTGTTCCGCCATCACTGAACTGCAATCTCTGAGACAGTGAGAGGAAGATAAACAGTGCCAATTTCATATTGCTTTGGTTAAAAAGGTGTTTGGTAACACGATTTTCTGGAGTAAGATAAAATGCGCTTTGTCCCCAAACGGGTTTGTAACGTTTGCTCCAGCCACATTTTTTGGGGAAAAAAAAAATCATTGTTAAATTCAATCAAACATTTTTTAATAAAATAATATTACACACAAATTTAAAAAAAAATTCCTATTTTTAATCATACATTTCCCATCAATGCACTATTCAAAAATGCATTTTTTTTTTTTGAAAAAAATGAGATTCAAACAAGGATAAAGTGTGCATCTAGTTGAGTTTGTAAATAAATAATTTTTTTGTTAACGCAAGGGTAGAGTTCACTACCAACGACCGGCTAATAATTTTCTTGGTTGGTGATGAAAAAGTGGACTCAAGGAAGGTAGAAATTGTGTAGTAGGTAGTGTTGGGATTTCCATTCATTAATTATATCAATCTTGACGTAAGTCTCCCATTGCACGACGAGCAGGCTTTAAGGGATTAGAGGAGCAAAAGTCACTAATATGTGTAATTTTTATATTTATCTGAATCATCAAAAGTAAATATTTAAGTATCTAATTGATGAATCTTGCCACTTAATTTGTTTAAATATTAAAAAAAAAATTGTTTAAATATCGATTGTTGTAAAATATATTCAAGTTTGGGTGACTTTTGATCAAAAGAAGTGGTAATCGACCAAAGACCGGCGAAAAATGAAGAATTCCAAAGTTCAAGTACTAAATTACAATATTCAAAAGTTGACTCAAAGTAAGGAAGGATGATTGAAGAATGCATGGCATCAACTGGATGAAATTAAAAGACAAGATAAAGACTACATGAAAAAAAACTCAAGATGCACTAAAGATAATGTAAGGGAATCGCCCTCAATATTACGCGGAAGCAGACAACCATATTCACCAAGAACAACGAGAACAATTTACACAGAATAGATCTATTATCGATTGGGGCTCAGAATTCACAAAGAAT